CACGCTATGTTGCTCCTGGGAGACACCGACCAGAGCACATGGCTGCAGCGAAGAGGGTGTTGCGCTACCTGTGCAGTACGTCGGGCATGGGGCTAGTGCTTGGAGGACGGGCTCGAGTTGTTCTCACTGGTCACGCAGACGCTTCTTGGGTTGACGACTTGGCTACGCAGCGGTCGTCACAGGGTTACACCTTCAGTCTTGGCTCCGGTTCTGTTTCGTGGCAGTCTACCCGCTCGTCTTCTGTTCTCAGCTCCAGCTGTGAGGCTGAGATCTACGTAGGGGCCATGGCTGCACAGGAGTTACGCTGGCTCACCTACCTGCGGACTGACTTGGGAGAGGTGCCTCGTTCTCCTCCAGTTCTGTACGTCGACAACAAGGCCATGCTGGCCTTGTGTCAGGAGCACAGACTGGAGCACAGAACGAAGCACATTGCCCTTCGCTACTTTCTTGCTCGAGAGCTGCAGCAGCGCGGTCAGCTTCGTCTTGCTTTTCTGTGTTTTTTTTAACCCGAAACATTGTTCTAATTTAAACTTCCTTTGATGTGGCAGCTCGACTACCCATTGGTGCACACGCAGATTGTGCGCACAATGTCTCTCTTGGAGAGTCGGTACATTGTTTGTGGAGACGACTTCGGCGGCGGGACTAGCGAGCGGCTTCATCGCTTCATCGAGAAGCATGGGCCGAAGGGGACACCAGAGATGGTGGTGGAAGGCGCGTCGTCAGATGGGAGTCTCAACCGCTTCAACATCACCCTTCACGAGCGCAAAGTGTCGAACTATCTCGGGGCGGGCCATCACGACGCGTGTGTGGCGCTCTGCACCAACTTTGCCGAGGGCCTCGTCGAAGAGCTCCAGTCCAAGCTCGGCGACCTCGACTCTCTTTCTGGCGTGCAACTTTTCATTCCTGACGAGTGGCCTCCAAATTGGGAGAGGAGCGCACGGCATGCACAGTGCCTTGAGTGGCTGTTGTCGCTAGTCACTCTGTTCCGCGCCGACAAAGTGACGAGATTCTGCCAGGTCAGTTCATAGTGTGATGCTCGTTCGACCGTTGGCGTCCCGTCCCGTCCCTTACTAATCCCACGCCTTGGCTAATCTTGCAGGCATTGACAAGAAGCGTGTCGTGAAGGAGCTGCGGACTCTGTGCCCAGTCCTGGCCAGAGCTCCTAAGAGCGAGCGCAAGTTCAACACGGAACTAACTGCAATCCTCAAGACACCTGACTGGCAGCAAGCATACCCCAACCTCGTCAGACTCTGGGTGGCAATTGCAGTGCTGCCTCTCAGCACCGTCGAGTGCGAGAGAGGATTCTCTCGACAGAATCTCATCAAGACGTGGCAGAGGTTTCGAAAGACTAGGCAAAAGTTAGAAACAGAAATGAGAGGATTGCACTAGCAAGCAGTTGAGTACATATAGCAAACCCTAAATTGGGCTATACTCACTATTGAGTACCCCACTGCAGGCTAGACACACATAACATTCTGACACACCCCCATAGCCGAATTGGGGTGTAATCAGCACAACAAGCAAGCAAAAAAAAACAATAGTTCACAATAATAATAAGCTAAGCTAGAAGCTATCACAAAGGGCAAGTGTGGAGGAGGAGGGACTATGAGAGGAGAGGAGGTAGTGGGCGGCAGCTGAAGCTGTTGGCACACGGCGCAACTGGAGCAACTGGCACACGGGCAACTGGAGCAACTGGCACACTGGCAACTGGAGCAACTGGCACACGGGCTACTGTAGTAACTGGCTCCGCGGCTAACTCTGAGCGACAGGAGCAACGGACCCACGGGCGACTGGAGCAACGGGCTCACGGGCAACTGGAGCAACGGGCTCACGGGCGACTGGCGCAACGGTCTCACGGGCGACTGGAGCTGCGGGCTTCACGGCGGCCACCCCTCTTCAACCTCCCCAAACTGTCCCACCCCCCTTTCACACACCCCCTGCTGCACCTCTAGCACTGCTCACACGCCACCCCCCTAGTACCACTCCTTTGTCTCCCACACACCCACCCCCCTCAGCGGCAGCTGCAGCAGTGGGAGACGGAGGAGGAGGAGGAGCAGTAGGTTACCCACACCGGTCACCCCCATGCCCGCCACCCCCAAACCCTAACGCAGGCAGGAGCGCGGGAAGCAGCAGGGGCGGTGCACGGAGGGAAAGGGAGGCTGCGGGGGGGTCTCCTGGGCGCCACGAAGGAGCAGGGCGCGGGCCCCCCGAGGGCGCCACGGCGGGTGACGGGAGAGGGGCCGCGCACGGGTCCCCGAGGGCGGCTCGACGGGCGACGGGAGGGGCCGCGCGCGGGCCCCCAAGGCGCCGCGACGAGGCGACGGGAGGGGGGCGGTGCGCAGGCCCCCAAGGCGCCGCGACGAGGCGACAGGAGGGGGTCGCGCGCTGGCCCCCGAGGGCACCTCGACGGGCGACGGGAGGGGGGGGGCGCGCGCGGGTCCCCGAGGGCGCCGCGTCGGGCGACGGAAGGGGGGGCCGCGCGGGCCCCCGTTGGCGCCTCGACGGGCGACGCCAGGGCTGCGCACGAACCCCCGGGGCGCCGCGACGGGCGACGAAACCGCCGTGCGCCCCGAGGCGCGCGACGGGCAGGGCACCGTCGCGCGCCACGGGGTGCACGACGGGCAGATGAGGGCGTCGCGCGCCCCCAGGGCGGCGCGACGAGCAGAAAACCGCCGCGCGCTAAATGGCCGCGCGCGCAGGAAGAAAAATGGCCGCGCGCCATGGGCGCGCGGCAGGCAGAAGGACAGCGCGCGCCCGAGGCGCGCGGTAGGCAGTAAAGGCAGCGGAAGTATTGGTAGGCCCATCAACAGGATCGACCCAGGAGGGTCGACCTGCTCTGATTCCATGTCGAAAGACTATGCAAAAGTTAGAAACAGAAAAGGGGATTGCACTAGCAAGCAGTTGAGTACATATAGCAAACCCTAAATTGGGCTGTACTCACTATTGAGTACCCCACTGCAGGCTAGACAAACATAACATTCTGACAAGAGGGGCAGTTTAAAGGACTGTAGGCTCAGTGACTTGCTGTGTATGTCTATGCTAGAATATGAGCTGGACCTGCGGGGGTTGTAGAGATTTGGCGCAGCTATAAGAAGCGCCAGCCAGTGACAGCACCTGCAGCAAGACACAGAGAGCCCCAAAGAGCTGGGAAGGAGGCTGTAGAGGAGCCAGTAGTTTAGCGTGCAGCTGTAGAGTCACATGTGACAGAATCTGAATCATATAGTTGAAATGTATAAAGAAAGCAGCCTTCAATCTGAGTGTAACTCTGTACTTTCAGCCTAAAAAATCTAGTGTTGTCTGAATTTCCAAACTCAAAGTTGGATGCAACTCTGACTGACAGAGTTTAGACAAGGGTGCACTCTGACCCATCAGCGTGCCCCAAAACGAATATAGGGGCCTGCTTACAACTTATTTTGAAATACTGTTTTCCTAGGGTCAAAATATTTGTGTGGCGCTACGTTAAATAACGCCCAAGTTTTTTAGTGCGCTCTGCGCCAAACGCATATGTTTCCTTCTGTTCAACCCAGACGGACCCCCCTCAGTCCAGCTGTATCTCCACACCTTATGGCTGCCCAACGACATATTCCGCTCCCCATGAACCTAACCAGCAAACCCCGACTCTCTTCGATAACCGCTAGCTGGCAAGAGAATAACATGTGTTGGTGATTGACTTTATTTGATTACTAGGTCTCGAAATTAATAAAGTCATAAACCTGTAACATTTGCAGCCGCGCCTATGTACCGTGGCATTATGTGAGATCAATGGGTTTGAAATCTTGTCTAGATAATGGTATAATAAGTTATGAACGTAATGCAATATCTGAATCCTTGTCCTCGCCCCAAACCCTTCTACACACCTCTGGTGCTGGGGCCAATCTTGGCGGGAATCTAGGTCCTCGTCAGAAACTTGAACTTGTTGTGGGTAACCTCGAGCCTGTCAGAGCAATGATCGGACGGCGGGTAATGCATCTGCTCGATTGAAAGCGTCACGCAGACACCTCCGCCACCACCACACCACCCCCGCCCCCCCCCCCTCAAGTCAGCTACCAGTAGCTCGATCTGCTATGCTCGACTAGTCCCAAGAGCTTCTTGAGAATGGTTTTCATTCCTCCGGCAATTTGATTCCTTGAGTATTTTGCTGAACTCACTCCACCATCACTTCGATCCAGGAAAATTCGAGCTGGCCTGCCGTTGCCGCTCGCTTGATCGTGAAATTTAGTTGCTGATCCCAAGGTGCGACCACTGTTTAAGCGTTGGATCGCCAGCACCAGTCGTCTTATCAGCCATGGCCTCTCAGCTTCTCCGTCCATCCTCCTCGCTTGCTGATGACTCCGCTGGCCGCATGGAAGCGGCCATTTACAACGATCCGCAGCGCAGAGCCCGCTTCGAGGCGTACAGGTATAGCCGCGGACGCGTTGGGAGTCCTAGGATGGAAAATCGCTTACTGCATGACGCTAGTACGAGTCACATTGTGTCCATCCTAATCGGCTAATCCGTCTATCTTGTACCGCAACGCTGATTAAGCGTATTCCTGAGATCTTTCGTGTCTCCGATCCGTTAAGAGCCAAATGGGTTTTGGATCAGCCTTCGATAAGCTATGCATGCGTCTCGACTCCAGTCTTATCCCACGGCAACTGAATGTCTTACCACGAGCATTCGACAATCTGCAATGTCATCGTTCGTTCTGTATTTCTGTTGTCCAGTCGGCTGCAGTCGTGCGCAGTGGCGTTCGGCGAGCAACTACCGTTGCCGGAGATCGTGGTGGTGGGCGGGCAATCGGACGGCAAGAGCTCGCTCCTCGAAGCCTTGCTGGGTGAGCAGGCTAGGAATAGGCGACAGACGGCGACAGATGGCGACAGATGGCGACATAGGATGGTAGACGCACTGGAGAGACGATGTGACACGACGGGAGGTGTGGAGGGGTCGGCATAAGTCGGGAGACGAAGGAAGAAGAGAGACTAGGAGCAATCGGCAGCGAGTCATACGCAGAATTCGTACAGATGCGTGATAGCGTCGACAGGAAAGTTTCACTCGCTTTCGAGTCCGCTGACCGTGTGTGCGTGCGCGCGCGTGTGGCGGCAGGTTTCCGCTTCAACATCCGCGAGGTGGAGATGGGTACCCGTCGCCCCCTCATCCTGCAGATGATGCATCGCCCCGACGCCCTGCAGCCGCTTTGCCGCCTGCAGGTGCGCTCCCCGCAGCCCCACGAGCTGCGTCCTCATAGACTCCCTCCCTGCGCGCGCCTCACTCCCATGCCCATTTCCTCTTGTGAACGCGGTCCTAGTCACGAGTTAGAGTATCGTCCGCTATCGATAGCAAAGCTGCGGCCCTGAACGTTGTGCGTGCCGGCTCTCTCCGTTCCCCTCCCAGGACGAGCACTCCGACGCGTACGGCCCCGTGCTGCACCCGCTGTCCGCGGTGGCGGCGGCGCTCAAGCAGCGCACGCACGACCACCTTCTCGCGCTGCGTCAGCCCACCAGCGGAGCGCCGGCGGCGGGCTCCGCTGGCGCGAGTGGCGGCGGCGAGGCTGCGCGGGGGAGAGGTCCTATAGTGAGCTCGAAGCCGATCGTGATGCGGGTGGAGTACGCCTTCTGCGCGTCGCTCACGCTCATTGACACTCCTGGGTTCATCCTCAAGGTGCGCACGGCGGGGTGGGCGGGTGCTTGGGGTCTGGGGCGGGATGGCGCGTAGTGAATGGAGGGACGAGGTGCATGTTGGCCCGAAGGAAGAGGAATGCGAGAGGGTGTGTTGAGATGGAGCGACGTGAGGGTCGAAGTGATGGCTCAGTGCGCTTGTGGCGGGTGCAACCGTCCTCCCATCCCATGACTCTCTTCCTGTGTGCACCCGTCAGGCGCGGCGAGGCGAGCCGGAGAGCACCCCAGCGGACATAGAGGCGATGGTGGTGGAGCTGATGGCGCCGCCGCACCGCCTGATAGTGTTCCTGCAGCAGAGCAGCGTGGAGTGGTGCTCCTCGCTCTGGCTCGACGTCGTGCGCCGAGCTGACCCCCAGCTGCGCCGCACTGTTGTTGTCGCCTCCAAGTTTGATAACCGCCTCAAGGTGAGGGAGGGCTAAGGGCGTGCTGCTGCTGTCATCTGGTGTCCCTCCAGGGTTTGAAGCATGCACTCTGAGACTGCGTTCCACTCTGCACTGCTTCTGTGCATCGTCGCTGTCTGCTAGAGGAGCGTCCTTAGTAAGGGGCTGATCGTTCATTTCCCTTGTCCTCGGCTCTTCATCACTCCCGTTGTGCTGTGTGCGTGCAGGAGTTCTCAGAGCGGTGGGAGGTGGACCGCTACCTCAGCACAGGAGGCTACTTCCACTGCGCCACCTCGCCGTCCCCTGCCACTGCCACTGCCACTGCTGCTACCACTGCTGCTGCTGCCTCGCCATTCGTGTCTCCCAGGCCTGCCCCTGCCTCCCAGGGGTTTGTTAGCCCTAGCAGTGCTGGCGGCGCCCCCCTGGCGCCCTTGCGAGGCCCCTTCTTCATCGCGCTGCCCAAGGACACCAAGGACAGGGACAAGGAAAAGAGTGCCGCGGGCGCTGGCAGCACAGGCAGCACGGGGAGGGACGGGGGTGCGAGCGAGGGAGTGCAGGAGAGTGCGCAGCTGCGGCGGCAGATAGCGGAGGTGGACGCGGCAGTGCTGCACTTCCTGCGCACGGAGGTGGCGGGCGGGTTTGACGAGCGCAAGTACGGCGCGCAGATAGGGTTCGCCAAGCTCAAGGCGTTTCTGGAGGACGAGCTGCAGCGCAGGTACGTGCGCTCCCTCTTGCCTCGCAGCCTGCAGCCTGCAGCACGGCTGGTAGGGCAGTGCGTGCGGGCAAACGTATCTGCAAGTCTGCTGGTCCAGGGATGCCTATCCGTATCCTTATGCAGTTTGTGTTTCACCCTGTCGGTGAGATGGTGTTCTGGTCATCTCCCCTTTGAATCCTGCTGCCTGCTTGTATATCGCACCATTGCCATCCACCCACCCTCCCTGCTCTCCTCACCAGGTACAGTGCAGCAGCGCCTGCCGTGCTGGCACAGCTGGAGCGGAGGTGTGCTGACGTGGCAGAGGAGGTGACGTGTGTGGAGCAGCGGCTGAGTGCAGCGAGTGACGTGGCGTCCATGAGGAGACTGGCTATGCGGCACGTGGTGGCCACCACTAGCGCCATGGTGAGAAGGGGAGAGGCGAGAGGAAGGGATGGGGACATGTAACGAGTGCAATGATAGGTGGTCGGGGTCAATATGGATGCATGCATGTGATTCATGTGATGCTTGCAAGGCACATAGCGCTTCACTAAGGATAAGCGCTTGTGTGGAGGTCCAGCTTAACAAGGGCAAGCAAAAAGAACGAAGAGCACGCATCGCATTCTGCACGGCAAGCAGTGGCCTCACTCTGTGCTCTCCCCCGTTCCCTCACTGCCCTGCCTGCCCTCTTCCCTCCCCACGCCGCGCTCCCCAGCTATCTCTGCTGGACGGGGCAGTGGAGCCCGACCCATCTCAGTGGGGTCTCTCCACGCACGAGGAGCAGGCCGCCAGCACCGTGGGCCACTGGCCTGGAGTGCCCCCCCACGCCTTCGTACACGCTGCACGCGCCCTCAGGCGCTGCAAAGGGGAGCATGGCGAGGTGGGGGAGGAGGAGGAGGAGGAAGATGAGGAGGGCGAGGAGGGTGGCGATGGGAGTGGGGGCAGCAGGGGCGGGGTGGTGAACGAGGGGCTACGGCTGTATGGAGGGGCAGCGCTCATGCGGGTCGTGCACGAGTTCAGCATTGCTACCTGGGCCGTGCCCTGCCCCAACACGTCCCGAGAGAAGGTGTGCGTGTGTGTGTGTGTTTGCTCATGCTCATGCAGGCGCTTGCAGAGCTTCTTGGTCGCATTGAGGTTCATCTGTTGGCAATCGTCGTCATCAAGTACATATCTCGTCTCTTCATCACATGGCCCTTCTTCCGTGCCTGCCCTCACTCGCCCCCTTCCTGCCACGCACACAGGTCGCAAACGCCCTCCTGGCGAAGCAGGCTGCTTTTGGGTCAAGTGGCGCCAGTGGCGTGTCATCAGCAGCAGTGGCGGCGACGGCAACGGAGGTGGCGCGGGCAGCAGTGCTGGCACGCTTTGCCCCGCTCATGGACGCCCTGTGTGCGCGCATCGCCTTCCTGCTGCGCCGCCTCCTTGACGTCGCCCTGCAGCGCGTCAAGTCCGGTGCGACTGGGGTTGGCGGGCTAGCTGCATGCTGTGGGTGTATGGGGTGCACGGTGGAAGTGTGGGTGGAGTAGAGGTGGGAGAATGTGGGGGCAGTTTTGGCCCACAGCGTGGGGCATGCTGCACGGTGCTGTCTATCCATATATTCTCTGCCCCATGCATCGCCTAATGCTGCTGCAGGGACCGGCAATAACTACTCATCGCTTCTGCCGCTGCTGCTCTTCATGCCCCTTTGAAAACCCTCCACGCCTCTTGCACTCACCGGCTTCCCACCCGTCCCTCCCACCGTGACGCCTCAGAAAGCCAGGCCAAGCCAAGTCACCACTCGGGCTTCTTCCAGTCACCCGCAGCCCAGCAACAAGCCCACAACTCTGCTGCACCATCACCCGTGGCAACGCTCCCGCCAGCCGTGGCACTGGAGCCGTTCCTTGGGTTCCATGCGGCCCTGCGGTCTGCCTACGACGCCTTCCTCGCCTCGCTCTCCTCGCGCTGCCGCCACCTTGCCCAGCACCACGTGCGCTCCGCTGCCTGCCACCTGCTGCCGCCCGCTGCTGCTGCTGGCATGCCTCATGTGAGTGTGGCGAGAGGGCGTGGTTCTAGTGTGGCGTGAATGCATGCACAGTGGCTTGGGATGGAATGTGAGGTATCGAATGCATGGACGCATGTGTGTGCAGTGCATGCACACTCGGCATGCACAGTGGGCATGCGACGTGAGCTTCTACTCCATATGGTGGACTTGGAGGAGAATCGCCTATCATGTTCATTCTCATGCTCCTACCTATCCCACTCGCTCTCGCTCCCTTGTGTGCAGGGTGCACCCATAATGCCTTCTGCCCCGTTGGGCCTGCACCTCCCCCTGGACCTCCAGAGCCATACGCCCCTGCCCTATGCTGCTGCACGTGCAGGGAAGGAGGGCGGGGTTGCAAAGGCAGCAGCAGCCGCAGCAGCAGTAGCAGGTGCAGATGAGAATGCTGGGAGGACTGAGAGGGGGGCCATGCCTCGGCATGGGCGGATTCCCCTGTATCCCGCTCGTGCTGCTGCTGACAACATGGCCAGTGCGAGGGGGGAGTCCTACACAACGCCAGTTAAAGGTGGTGCTGCTCCCATGTGCGCCGCAGGTGCTGGTGGGGGTGCAGATGCACAGGCACTGCGGGAGTGTCATATGACTGTTCCTGAGACGCCCTCGCCTGACCTGCATGCCAGGGAGCAAGCAACAGCCGCAAAGTGGAAGGAGTATGCAGAGATCAGTGGCCGGCTGATTCTGGCTGGTAGTGGGCTGGCTGGTTCAGGAGGAGCTTTGACGGGGCAAGGGGCAAGGCAGGCAGGTGGCGGTGGGAGGGAAGCAGGCAGGGAGGCAGGGAGCGACGGGACAGGGAACGGACGTGCAGGAAGGGACGAGGCAGTGGTTGGAGCCGGGGGGTGTGGCGAGCGGGTAGGGAGGAATGAGCGAGGGGAAGAGCCAACAATGAAGAGTGACTGCGATGTGGGCAGTGGCAGGGGCAGCAAGCGCGGCGTGAGTGGCGTGCTGAATGACCCACACGCTGGGGTGGGATGTAAGAAGAGACAGGAGGGTGGTGGACGGGGTGGTGGGAAGGAGATGGCGGAGGGGGGTGGGAGGAGCAGGTCTGGGTACAGTCGGGTGAAGGAGATGGTGGAGGTGGAGTTCCAGGGCATGAAGATGACCCTCGCCTCACATGCGCCCTTTGCCATCCTCTCAGCCTTTGAAATGCCTTTGTAAGACTCTTTAACATCATATGCAGATCATGTTTCCCCCTCACATCATCCCCACACAAGCCACCTTCCTCCCTAGTTCCGTTCCTTCTTCCGTCCCTCTCCTTTTCCCATCCTCCCTCCTTTATTTACTCCCTCAACTCCATCCTCCCGCTCTCCCTCCCTCGCTCCCTCCCTCCCTCGCTCCCTCCCTCCCTCCCTCCCTAACACTCTCTCTCTCTTCTTCCTACTCTCTCTCCTCGTTTCCTCCCTCCTCCCTCCTCCCTCCCTCCCATCCTTATCATCTTCTTACCACCTCCCGTCTCTCACACTCCTTTCTCCTCTTCCCCGTCAAGATCTTTTCTCTGTAGCATCGTCGCTCCCTTGCCTCTCCGCATCCCCTTGTACCTTGTGCACCACAGCCACAGGCATTTCTCTTCACATCCACCTTCCCCACCTATTGCATTCCCTCCCACTGAGCAGTCGTGAGGGTGTGGCATCATCGCTGCTGGAGGCGCTGTTCGCGAGGTGTGATGCTGACGTGATGGCCATGTTCACTGCACCTGCCGCAGTCAAGAAGATGCAAGCCGAGCGAGACGCAGCGCGGCAGAGGATGGAGTCTCTCACAAAGTGCCTAGAGGACTTCCGGTCGGCGTGCGAGTCAATCCAGTGATACAAGCATTGCCATGTGTATCAAACGCATCTTTGCTGTGCTGTATTCCAAGTTTACCCTGGAATAGTGGCTTGCAACAGAGTGTTGACCCTAGTTCCAAAATTTTGGAGTGGATGTTGGCAAAGGTACGGTGATTGTAACATGTGCTACTATTTGGCAACAGACTTTGAAATAGCCCTCCTCTTCACGAACTAGTGAATGGGTGGTGGTGGTGGAGTAGATTATGGAGATGGTTGGGGAATTGAAGCATGGTACCGTAGCTTTATTTCGTTGTCTTCAAACAGAGAGCGCTTTAAGAGCACCAGAGGTAGTATCTTGAGGTAAGGCGTCGGAATGCTGGGCATGGATATGGAAACCCTTCGAGTATGTGTGTCTTACATCTTGTATTTGTTGGGCTGAGTGCCCCTTAGGATCTTTGGTAGGGTTAGCCTCTGGGTAGAGTGATGTAGTAGCGGAAGCGTTTAAATGAAGTCCTTGAACCACCTTGCGCTGGTATGTGAGGGCAAAGTAAGTTGATTAAAACAAGCAAGTACAAAGGTTTATATAAGAGTACAAAGAATACGAAGAGATATAATTAAACTGTTTTACTGTTGCGGTTCGATACAGTGCGACTCGGGCAACTGCTCAATGTCGAGTCAGTTGTGTGTCCTTGCTGTCGCGCTGCATTTGTCAAGTCAAAGGTCGCTGACCTTTGACTTTCGCGTAACCTCCAGCGGTTACTTCAACCTCCGAGGGTTGACTCGCTGGTGCCTCGATATGCTCTGCTTCGCTTGTGCCTTGGTGTTTCGACACGACAGAGGCGCTTAAGATTGTTTGTTCCCAACAGTATTCTGTATAGTATTTTCAAAGAGATTCGATTGCATCCTAATTGGAGTATGTGGTGTAATACAGGAGTGGCTCGCTCTGCACCAACTATGCGAACCATGTGTGACGGACGTGTCGCTTCTCGCACTGCTCCACCTGCTGTGGCATCCGTCTCACAGGAGTGGTGGCGAGATGTTGCCGTCGCCAAGTCCTTGGCCCACCGACAAGTGAGCGACGGAAACCTGCTGTGGAGGGCAATTCATTTCCGTTGACGAATTGTCGCCACGTGCGATGCGGCCGCAGCAGTCGTTGCCATTTTTGTTCCCTCCCCTTGCGTGTCCCCTTCGACCCTCCTGCGCTCTCGCCTCTCTGGTTTTCGTGCCCAATTGCCTTGGTTGGCTGCCGTCGAACAAAAATACACATGGACTGCGTGGGTTTGTACAGGGTGAATCCAGCAGCACCCGTAGGCAAATGTACACAACTCACCTCAGCAGATCCGATCTGCTGCTCTTGAATCGGGAAGTCACGAGGGGCCGCACCCCAGCCATTCTCGTATTCCTCCTTGCTTAGGAACGAAGTGCTAATGTGACCCACATTGATCGCTCAACGCTTGTTCGTACCACTCTCATTCTTCGTCTCAAAGAAAGAATCGAAAAAACAATGCGCAACTGAAATATCCCTTCAAGGAATCTCTGGACATTGCCCCAAGTACATCTGACAGACACAGCGTGTGGCTTGCGACGCGGGTGCACCCCACAGCCCGCGAGCATCGTGACTCATATCGTAGTGGAGTCCGGCTCGTCGGCGTCTAGTAGTACTAGAGTACACGTAGTAGTAGCCTGCACTTGCCTCCCCTCGCCTCGGCTCGTCGGCGTCTAGTAGTACTAGAGTACACGTAGTAGTAGTAGCCTGCACTTCCTCGCAACCGCCACGGCACACGACGCCGTTTGGTCATGGCCAGCGCCACAGCCGGCAGCACCTGGGCCAGGACGGCTAGAGATATCCCGCACCGTTCCCGCTTCGCATCACTACGACCGCCGTTCGCGTGGCCCGCCTCGCAGATCGTGCTCCTCCTCCTCCTCCTCGCGGCGGCTTCGCCCTTCCCCCCTTCGCCCGCCTTCGCGCGCGTGCTCAACCGGCATCGCCTGCACCCGCTCTCCGCCAAAGAATCCGCCGCTCTTTACGGCGCGGGCAACACGGCGCTCGGGGATCCGGATGGCGGCGGCGGCGGAGGCGACGCGGGGGAGCAGGACGGGCGCGTGTATGCGGCGGAAGGGACGGGCGGGGAGCCTCCGCCGCCGACGCTGTCGCCGGCGAGCGAGATGTTCGACATATGCAGCTTCGCAGGTGCCGCCTCCCGCCCCCTCGCCGCTGCCATCCTGCTCGCTCGTCACGTCCCCTTTTCGCTCGCGCGCGGGAGAACCGCAGCCACCGCCGCTCCATGGCGATCTTCAGCGCTGACTGCTTTGCTGACCCTATTCCGCGTGTGCGTGTGTTAATGTGTGCACGTGTGTTCCCCTTCCCCGCGTGTGCGTGCCTGCGTGCGTGCCTGCGTGCGCGCGCGCCCCCGTGCAGGAGACATCAATTTCACGGTCACGCCAACGTTCATCGGCACCACGTGGAAGGGTTGGGGCACGTCTCTCGCGTGGTGAGCCCCCTCCGCCGCCGCGCGCGCTCGCGTCGCTGATCGCCGTCGTGTGTGCTAGCGCACGGAGGCGTCCGCGCAGCACGGGGGTATGCGCGGATGTGCATGGCGTAGGCGCGGGTAGTGAGTGAGTCATGTAGGCGGAGAACTGCAGCAACTGCTCGACGTCTGCATGCCAACATGGCGTGCACTTGCTGCATTCATCTGTTCGCGCCCCCACATGCGCTTCCCCCTCAACCCCCTGTTCGCGCTCGCCCAAGCCTCCGTACTGCGTCCGTCCCTGCTCGACCAGTCCCTCTCACATCCATGCACGGTCCCGGCGTCCGTTCCCACGGCCGTTGTGATCATCATACCCCTGAACCCCCCCCATCCCACCACCTCCCTCCCTCAATCAACTAACTCCCCCTTCCCCTCCCATTCATCTCCGTCCGTCCGTCCCCTCTTCCCCCCTCCCCACACCCCCCCTCAATCACCCCGCCCTCTCCGTTTCCTTGTGTCTAGGCAGGGCAACTACATAGGCGGGTTTGCGCGCGCGAACATGGACGTGCTACTGGACCGCATCTTTCATAAGACCAAGGGCTTGGGGCTCAACATAGTGCGCTACAACATCGGCGGGGGGAACAGCCCACAGCGCAGCCCGCAGTTCGCGCGCGACCAGCAGACGCGCCTCAAGGCCATGCCAGGCTACTGGCCCGCCGAGACCGCCGCGTTCGACTGGACGGTGGACCAGCGGCAGAGGAGCGTGCTGTTTGGCGTGCGTGCGCGTGGGGCGGATGTGTTTGAGGCGTTCTCCAACAGCCCGCCCTGGTGGATGACGGTCTCGGGGGACGTGGCGGGGGCCACAGGCAGGAACCAGACGAACCTGCAGCGGAAGTACGAGGGGAAGTTCGCGACTTACCTGGTTACAGTGGTGGAGCAATTCGCCAAGAACCCCGCGTGGAACCTCACGTTCGACTCGCTAGAACCGTTCAACGAGCCGCTGGAGGGGTTTTGAACCGCGGGCAACGGGCAGGAAGGGTGCAACGTGAACCCGGCAGCTATGGGCAGAGTGCTGGCGCAGACCGTGAAGCTGCTCAAGGCGAGGCGGCTGCGCACGCGTGTGGCGACGTTTGACAGCTGGGTGGAGAGCACAGGCAGGGCGCTGGCGTCGGTGCGCGGCATGCAATCAGCGGCGCGCATCAACGTGCACTCGTACATGGACCCTGCACCGCCCGCCAAGGACCCCGTGCGGCACACGGGGCAGGCGTACGTGGCAGTGCGTAATATAGCGAAGCGGCTGGGCAAGGAGGTGTGGGTGACGGAGGCGGGGCACATGGGGCGGGGTGGGCACCCGTACGACTTGTCGCTGTACGTGATGCGGACGGTAATGGAAGCCGTCAACTTGCTGCATGCGTCCGCGTTCGTCTACTGGATGGCCTATGACCCGGACATAGGCTGGGCGATCGTGCGCTTCCCTTGGACCTTCCCTGCCGGATATTCGGGCCCCATTCCCAAGCCTGTGCTATCCAAGCGGTACTACATGTTCAAGATGCTCACGAGCCTCGTACGGCCAGGCAGCCAGCCCCTGGTGATGCCGTCCAAGTGCTGGCACGGCATTGCGGGGTTCTACCATGCTGGAGGCCTCACTGTGAGTGTCTTTGTGGTGAACCAGAAGCCCACTGCTGCTCAGCTGTCCGTGAGCCTCGCTGGGTTTAGAATGAATGTGAATGGCAGGACGAGGGCTGTGGTGCGGCGCACCTCATGGACCCAAGACATGGCTGAAGTGGTGCTTTCTCAAGGGAAGGCAGCGGCGAGTGTGACAATACAGGGTCGAAGCTTTGTTTCAATCCACTTCACTAATGTGCAGGGAAGTTTCCCTTGATACCAATGGCAACTAATACATATTTTTACCATACTATTGTTCACCATTGTGTGTAGTGTACTGTATTTGTACTAAGTAGTTCATAATAAGGGTGCATTCCGCGCTGGACACTTTCTCAAAGAAAGTGTCCCAATCACTTTTGGCCCGAGTCGCCCTCAAATGTCTCGGGACCTCATGTCCCAATCGACCAATGTATTGCGACCCTGCACGACCAGGGCGACAATTACCGTATTCTCCCGGACAAAACACCCCCCCGTAATTGTACACCCCTGGGTAGCTTGTGCGGGGTGGGTGTTATGATAGACCTCGTTTCTACTATACCCCCCTTTTTGGCTGATTTTCTATAACACCCCCCCTTTTCTTACGAATTCGTTATTATAGCTGCAATGTCGCCACGTGCAGGCGAATCTTCCGCTGCAAGTGGCAAGAGAGGTGCCACATTCGCGCCTCAGACAGTGATGTTAAACCGAAAATCAAAACACCCACATTGTCTAATTAAATAAACACTAACACTAAAATATGCCATATGTAAAGACCCGTGTATTATGTATTTTTTTTCCTATGAGGAGACCCCCCCCCATTTTTTCCCTGTATTTTTAAGCTATACCCTAGGGTGTTATGTCCGGGAGAATACAGTATCTGTGAACGATTCTGATTGGTCATTTCTTATGGGTGCACACTCATCTGCCGCGTCAATAATTCCATGTGTGTTCTGTCGATCAATCACGCTGCATTGAACGCGTTGTTAGGGATTGTTGTGTCTCTGAAATGTTGTCCAGGTACATGCAGCATGTGGGGACATTTGGCACCGCGTGCGACTTTGGAAATGTGATGCGCTGGCTTGCAATTAGCGCGCGACACTTCCGCACTTCACGTCGTCGAATGATAAATACGTTCGGCGACATACATGTGCGGCCCGGTTTTCTGACAACTGGCAGCATAAGCTGTACATACGCGTCACAATCGATTGGGACAGTTTCTTTGAGAAAGTGTCCAGCGCGGAATGTACCCTAAGTCCTGTTGTAACTTTTTTGGATTCATCCAAATGTAAGACCCTCTGTTAGGTACGTACGTCCAGGGCTTTTTTTTTGGATTTTCACTACTCGGATTTCCAGAGCTGTTTTCTAGAGAACTCTGAAATTCAGGGTTCATTATGAGCATTACTCTGATTTGTCAGAGAAAACTTAACTTCTGAAAAATATACTCTGGGCACCCAGTGTACCTATTTTTCCAACTCTGAGTGTCCTCTCAAGTATTGAACCCAGGCCTTCTGCACTCCTACCAAAAAGACTAAGCGTTGTGCTACGCGCTAACCACTCTATTCGATTACGGATTCATATCATTCTTGTTGGTCTGCCCATCTTCCAACAATTGGGGGGGTAGGGGGGGGTGGGGGGGGTCGTTCGAAATGCCTATACCCTGTACAGAGAAAAGTACATCCGCCACAAATATACACTGGTCTCTCAGAGAAGCTAAAATCAGAACCCTGACAAATCAGAGAAAACTTATCCTCCAAAAAAATTACCTAGACACGTCAGAGTGACCCCCTATAAACCACTCTGATTTTCAGAGAAACAGAGTAATTTACTCTGATAAAAAAACCCCTGCGTACGTCCCTCCGAGAGAGCGCATCTGGTTGGCTGTAAGGAAATTTCCTTTTCCTTACTTCGCGTCCCTGCTCAGCGCGTATACCACTGTTCCCGCCAACAGCACCCAACAGTAATCCGTTACCACTCGCGACACTCGCCTCGACACTGTTCCCGCCACTGTTCACGACGCGACCCATCCTCACGGTTCGGTTGGTAACCCGCGCTCCGGACCTCCGCCTCGACAATTCCCAACCTCGGCGCTAGGCCCGTCGCGCACCCCATTTTCACACATTACCGTTACCACTGTAGTTTCGCTATATATTCTTCGCTCATGCCTTCGCTCATTGTACCTTTTTGCTTCGATAGTGCAATTCCCGCTCGCTCACTCAATTGCACTCGTAACACTTGGTATTCAGAGCCTACGATCTCTTCTCGGATCGCACCCACACCTTCGCATCCCCTCTATCTCAAATTTTTTGGGGGGTAGACGTCTCTCAGTGAACAAGCACCGCCGCTCGAAGTGCTCTCGCGTAAGCACGCACGGCCACGACAGAGGCTCTCGCTGAGCTTGCCCAACAACCCCGCCATGGCCGAATTTACTCTCGCGACACTGACGCAGAAGCAACTCGACCGTCTCGTGCGCCAACTCGAAGATTCGGCGCTCGAAATTGCGACCCTTAAGGCGGAACGCGACTCCGCTCGTCAGCAGTCCACGGTGAACGCTCCAGCACCACCACAACCTACAAACGCACCTACACAATCAGAAGAGCCGATCGTCATTTCAACAGGCACACCGACACAAAACGACAGCGTGGGACAGCGCTCAGGCGCAGCCAGTGATGGCGCCGCTCAATCAATGCCTGGCATGGAAAGGAACAGGGCCGCGCCAAGCCCGCGGGAGCCTCGCGAAGCCCGTCGGCACGTGGAATTTGCAGCAATGAGTGGCCACCATGCAATCATGGCACCAATGCCACTCAAGGCGCAGCGCCCGCCCTGTTTTGACCCGAGCCAGCATGGAGGTCCGACGGTTCAGTCGTGGGTCTTCACGATGAACGAGTTTTTCGACGCGAACTACGTCGAGTCGGACGCAGCGAAGATCCGATATGCCGTCTCGATGCTGAGGGGCCCCGCCATGGACTGGTGGCGAGTCATCGTGACGTCGCCACGCGCCTATGAGCCACCGTCGCAAGAGGAAGGGCCCACGAGCCCAGCCGTCACCTGGAGTTCATTTTGCGAAACCGCCCAGTACCGCACGTGGGATGCGTGGTGCGCAGGGCTTCGGGCGCGCATCGAGCCGATCGCGGCTTCAATCTCGGCGTGTCAGAGACTGCGTACTTGGCGGCAGCTCGGGTCCGTTCAAGACTATACAAGCAGTTTTCTCGCATTATGCGAGCAAGTCGACTACATGCACGAAGCGGAGTGGGTGGACCGTTACGTCGGAGGGCTGAATCCGGACATCTCGCACAAAATCATGCTACGCGGACTCTCGAATTTCAACGAGATTCTCGCGCTCGCCGAGAAAATCGACATTTTGCGCCGTCCGAGACCGGGGTCCTACTATGGACATTGCCCTCGGGGACTGATCGAGCACGCCACCGTACACGCCGTTGCGAAGAATGCAGCTGCTGCGCCGTTTAAGGGGCGCTGCTTTGCTTGCAATCGGCCGGGCCATCGCAAGGGCGAATGCCCAGAGGAGCTGATATCAGAAGTAGGAGGAGTACGGCCTAGGCTTAGTAGCCTAGGCCACAGTAGGACTAGTAACGAGGAGCCAAGTACGAGCTAGGAATGTGTGTAGGAACAGAATTGAGAAGGGGTGATTGAACTAGCAAGCAGCAGGATACAAATAGCAAACCCTAAGGGGCTGTACTCACTATAGAGTACCCCACTGCAGGCTACACAAACAACATATTCTGACACACCCCCATAGCCAAAGTGGGGTGTAATCAGCACAATGAGCAGTCATAGCAATAGTTCATAATTATCAGCAAAGCTAGAGGCTATCACAGAGGGCAAGTGAGGAGGAGGAGGGACTATGAAAGGAGAGAAGATGGGAGGCGACGACTGAAGCTGCAGACACACGGGCAACAGAAGCGGCTGACACAGTGGCGGCTGACACAGTGGCTACCGAGACAGAGCGCCCCGGAATACTGGAGTAACTGGCTCTGCGACTACGACGAGCGGCAGAAGCAACGGACCCACGGGCGACTGGTGCAGCAGGCTCTTAGTGGCTACCGAGACAGTGCGTCCCGGAATATAAGAGTAACAGGCTCTGCGGCTGCGACGAGCGGCAGGAGCAACGGACCCACGGGCAACATGTGCAGCAGGCTCTCTGAGCTACCAGGACAGTGCGCCCCGGACTACAGGTGCTGCGGACGACAAGACAGCAGCCTCCACTCAACCTCCCCCAACAGTCCCACACCCCTCTCACACACCCCCTGCTTCACCCCTAGCTCCACTCCCACATCACCCCCCTAGTGCCACTCCCCACGACTCCCACACCTCCACCCCCCTCAGCGGCAGCTGCAGCAGCGGGAGACGAAAAAGGAGGAGGGGAGAACCCACACCTCTCACCCCCATGCTCGCCACCCCACACCCCAGCCACCGCGGAACGCACGGTGGAATGGGAGCAATGGGCAGCACGGGGGGGGGGGGGGGGGGGGAACGGGGCGGGCTTCTGCAGAGGCGGCTCGCGCGGGTCCTGGGGCGGCTGCTGCAGGTGCGGGCTGCTCCAGGGGCGGCTGCTGCAGGTGCGGGCTGCTCCAGGGGCGGCTGCTGCAGGTGCGGGCTGCTCCAGGGGCGGCTGCTGCAGTGGCGGGCGGCTCCAGGGGCTGCTGCTGCAGTGGCGGGCGGCTCCAGGGGCTGCTGCTGCAGTGGCGGGCGGCTCCAGGGGCGGCCACCGCAGTTGAAAGGCAGAAGGGGGGGGGGGAAAACGCACGGCCCCCAGGGCGCCCCGAGGGGCGACGAGAAGGGAGCCGCGCGGCCCCCCCTGGGGCGCCGCGACGGGCACCAGGGAGGGCGCCGCGACGAGCCCCCAGAGCCGCCTCGACGGGCGACGGGGAGGGTGCCGCGCGGGCCCCCCGAAGTCGCCTCGACGGGCGACGGGGAGGGCGCCGCGCGGGCCCCCCGAAGTCGCCTCGACGGGCGACGGGAGGGGGCCGCGCACGGCCCCCGAAGTCGCCTCGACGGGCGACGGGAGGGGACCGCGCGCGGCCCCCGTGGTCGCCACGACGGGCGACGGGAGGGGAGGCCGCGCGGGTCCCCGAGGTCGCCTCGACGGGCGACGGGAGGGGAGGCCGCGCGGGTCCCCGAGAGCGCCTCGACGGGCGCTTCGACGGGAGGGGACCGCGGAGGCCCCCCCAAGGGCACCACGACGGGCGCCACGGAAGGGAAAACCGCCAGGCGCCCCGAGCG